CATCCATCGTTGGAATATTCAACAATTACAAGGAATTTTTTCTAAGACTTTCGGACAATACTGCTGTGTATTTTTATATTATATGTGCAGCGGTTATAATCTTAATCAGTTTCTCGCTCTTTTTTTTCCGAAGATTGTGAATATACGATCGTTTAATCATACACTTATTTCGTAAAATTTTTACTCACAAAAAATAAGCGAATTATAACAATATATATATGAATTTTAGTATGAATAAATAAATTTGTTCTGTAAAATATTTTAAATATAATCCATATTGTACTTTTAAAACTATTGTTCAATTTTCTTTCACTTCCTCTTTCCAGAAATTTCCTCCACATGCATGTTTCCTGTTTACCTTCATTAAGCAGCGAGTTATTTTAAAATAAAATTTTATCTGACATCTTTCTATCTACGACGATGTATTATTATTTTTTATCGTGACGGCGAGTCGGAATGCTCGCCTGTACAATATTTGCGTGTTCTTTTTTATTACCCTACGCCATTGTCAGCTACTACCTGCCACCGGTCGACCGCCCGACGCTTTTCTTCTGGCCAAACTGTTTTTACCCCACCCCGTTACCCAGTCAATATCGACCATTTGATTCGACGAGCTATCCTTGCCATACGTATACCCGAACTGTTTTTTAACCCCACCCCCGTCCAATATCGACCATTTGATTCGACGAGCTATCCTTGCCATACGTATACCCGAACCCCCATGCCGTACTCTACGCAACTTTAGCTTAAATACCACATCTAATCCTTAGACTAGTAAGATCTCGTTTAGCTCAACATACTAGGACCTGCTCGGAAACACGGAGGTCCCGGGTTCAAATCCAGAGAAAATCAGAAAAAATAAAAATAAAAATTCTCATCCCCACCTTTCGGGGCAGTCGCCATTTTTTTTTCCCCCAACACCCTTTCCCCCTAACACCCACACTCGAAAAGCCAGACGCCGGGTGGTGGGGGAAAGATAAGATAAGACCCGGCGCCAGACGGGTCGTGGTGGGGGTTTGTTTGACGGGCCATACCTGCCATTATACTACTTAGGATAATTAAAATAAAACATAAACCATTCTATTAAGAAAGATCTTTGTATACCAAAGGTTCCAAAGAATTGTCTCACATTGCATTATAGACATAAATATAGAAAAAAATGCAAAATAGGATTTAGCTTTATCAATAAAAAGTACATTACTTTACAGCACAAGGAAAAGAAAAACCGTAAAGAAAGTATAGACATAGTACATATAAACTATAATTGTAAGTACGAGATTGCGGTCTTGAATGATTAAATTAGATTATATTACATGTTGCAGGTTAGGTGAACACTAGTTTTAAGTCGCTTAAGGAGATCCTTTACGATTGTTTGTTTTATCAACCAATTATTATTTTCATACTTCTAGTCTTTTGTCGCATTAGAGGATCCCTCAGCAAATGACAAACTCCGACAAAATAGCAGCACACATATGTACAAATCGTATTTCTAATTACACATTTTGATTAGACTTTTAATCCAGATTTAGAAGATAACAGTGCTTTCTTTCGTATTTCCTAATCCTAGGAAATGTGTTTTTTTATTCGTACAAAATGTATATGGTTTCTTATATAAAGCATATATTATGATGAGGTTATTGACAGTTCGTCTGTAATTCGAGATGTAAATAAGTAAGGAAAACTGTTATTTCACATTTTTCATATAAAATCGAGATTCCCTGGGATTATTGATGCATGTATTGCAAGTGTAGAGAAGCATTTTATATTCTGACAAATTAATACAGAGAAATCCTAGAAGTACACGAAGTAATACGAAAATATACATTGTGTCGATAAAACAGATAATCGTAAAGGATTCCCTTAATTTGACAGAATTACTGAAAATAAAATTTGAACTTTTGGTTTAATTTTTGACATAAAAATGGTCAATTAATTGTTTAATATTTTGCAAATTAATAATGATATTGTAAAAATCCGCGGTTAATGCTTAAAGAAAATTGTAAGGATAATAAAAAACCAATATTTAAGTCAATGTAATATGTAAATCCCGAAAAACCTTTGACACTGTGGTTTCGAGAAAAAAAGTTTTATAATAAAAAAAAGTTTCAATTATATAGCGTAAACTTTTTTGTTCTTATAATGCCATGTCAGCTTTGCATAATAATCATCCTTCTCATCGTCGCTTCTTGTTTTGCTCTGTCGTCTCGAAATTTTTCGATTTTTATATCGGTCTAATCCCTTAAGAAGGATTTTATATTATATTGTCGTCTTACTTTGAGAATGCAATTGTTAGTGTATGTAATTTTAAGAAGATTGTTTACAATTGTTTGTTTTCAACCCCCCACCTCCACCCCAATTATTATTTTCGTACTTCTAGTCTTTTGTCACATTAATTTGACAGAATTAAAAGTGCTTCTCTACGATTGCAATATACATACATCAATGATTCTAAAGAAGTTCAATTTTATATAAAAAACGAGAAATAATTAGTACAATTTTCCTTATCTATTTTATCTCGATGTGACATCTCGAATGACAGACGAGCTGTCAACTCATCATATGTGCTTTATATAAAAAATATACATTTTGTATGAATATAAACTCAAAATCCCTGGGATTAACATACATGAAAAAAAGCATTTTTATCTTTTAAATTTAGATTAAAATCCAATATATAAAAATATAGTTTGCATTACGATTCGTACGTATGTGTGCGTGCGTTGTAGATATAATAGAGCAAAAAACAGCAACACATATGTACGTTCTTTATAATAGTATTAAATATAGCAAAAAGTGACGTCATGTGAAAAGTCAGTTGGTAATCGCCGATATTTTTAATTCCAAAATGAGGGCGCTATTATATTGTCGGAGTTCGCGTCGTTCGCTGAGGAATTCTCTTAATTAAGAGAAAAAAAAAGTTTAAATTTATCGCATTACAAATTTGTTCTACAAATCGAATTTCTCTTTTTCCTGCTTCAGAACATCGCAATTCGTCACCGCCGCGATTCAACGAACGAATGAATCCCGGACCGATCCGCACCGGCGAGACGATCGTGCTGTTGTGCATCTCGCAGGGTAACCCTCCACCTACATATCTCTGGTTCCGCGAATCCGTGTCGGGCACAACGATGGTTTTCAATTCGGAGAGGATACACGCGCGCGCTGGTGTACTGGTGCTACAGCCGGCCCGCGTCGAGGATGCCGGCAGATACGTCTGCCACGCGAACAATACCGCTGGTTCCGAGCGGGTCGTACTAGAAGTCACTATCGTAAGCAGTCTCTCCATCCATCTAGCACCTCAACAGGTACGTATCCAGATTTTTTCTTCTTTTAGTGCGACCCGATTTACGTGCTCCCTTTTCCTTTCGATTCACTTTTGCTTTCGACCGTTTGACGTGACTTTCTGCATCCAAACAGACTTAACAACCTAAACATTTGTGTACATCGAAAATCTTAAATCTCAGAATTATATTTAAAGATAAAGTTTAAAAATTAAAAATTAATTGCATTAAAGTTTTTAAATTGATGAAGATCTATTATTCTTTATAAGTATTTATTACTAAAATTATAATAATAGTAGGAAACGTATTTTTTTTTTTCGATTTATAATGTTATATGTATTATATGGAATATATTACATGTTCATGAATATATTCTCTTAAAAATAAATCTATAGAATGTAATAATTTATGCTATATTTTGAATTTTAGTCGAAGTCTATTTTTCTTCCAAAATGTTGATAATAGAACAATGTTTCAATATTTGACTTTATAATACTCGTATCTCGGAACATTGAAAATGTCTTTAAACTGGTGAAACGATAAAACCCCGAGTAAGCTTAAGATGAATTTTACATGCGTTAATAAAGGAGCCATAGCAAGGAAAAGCCTTGGATGAACTTTCACAATAGCTTACAGAACGAAATATAAAGATTGACTAATTTAAATGATGGAAATATTACTCAATTTATTTCATAAAAACGAAAGTTTCTAAATATATTATTGTTTCTCTTTATACATCATTACAATTGCACACAATAATAAAGTATAAGGTTATAGTTTATTTTAATAAAAATGTGTTAAATTGTTGATTTTTATACATTTTTTTTTTTTAATATAAACTATTTATAAAGTTTATAATAATAATTATAAAATATAAAATATATCAATTTTTAAGTATAAAATGGCATTGCGCGGAATCGTTCCGTTAAAAGCTACGCTTTTCTCAAGTGATATTTGAATCCAAGTTTCAATGCTTGTAGAGGGCGCTTTTGTTCAGTGTAATTGCCATAAATATCGCCAGCTATTTCGATTTGAGCAAAGTTGAATCCAAGTTTATCCCGTTACTCCGGAACGAGAAGATAGTGGACTTTAGATACTCTCCGGATAATTGGGTTGAACATCAACGTTATATCACAGTTTCCTCTTCATCCATCTTACGTTTCTGTCGGTTTACATGCATTTCCTCTCTACTGATTGTGAGTTTCGCGCATGAATGCGTGATCTTTTTATTTTCTTCTTCTTCTTTTTCTTTTCCTCCTTGTCCCACATTACAGCAATCACTTCTTTGTTAGGTTATTATTTTCACTTTTTTTGTTTTGTTTTATTACATTTTAAACAACAATAATTATTTTATTAAATTAGTTTTTTAGATTAGATTATTTTTTTTATTACATTATAAATATTTTCATACTTCTTTCTTACATAATTCGAAGTAAATGCAATTTCATTGATTTTTTTAAACACAAAATCCATCTCTTTTTTTCTTCTCATTAAGAGTTTAGCACCGAGAAAATAAACGACAATCTTTATTCGTCGAGTAAATAAACGACAACCTTTATTCTGTCGCATAACGATCTATACAATTGATTTCCTTTTGAAAACGGATTAGCCTGTAAAAACGAGATGTCTCGACAAGGTATCGATAATCTTTTTCGTAACGTATGGTTGACGATCCTTCGTTTTCCACTCTCTTCCTCACTCCTCGCATCTCTCGCCGAAGTAGCAGCTCCTCTTCAATGCGTCGTCGCAAATGACTCCGAGCATTCCTATTGTGCGCTTTTCCCGGACGACAATCGTCACTAGTTTTCCCCGGAGCGAGGCGCAATCAGAATCTACATTTACTTATCACCCCTTCCGGTGAAATTTTGCGAAATTCTTCTTTATCTCGAAATTTTCACAATAATTGTGATGACGACGTTTACAAACCAAATCACTTATCACTCTGGAAAATGTATTTAACAAGTTCTATTGAATTGCGCTGTAAGCACTTATCTTATCAATTACAGTATGATGTTCTTTAACTTTTTTATTGGAAGACTGGATGAGAGAACTTAATAATTACTTGAAAAAGAAAACTTGAGCGATTTAAAAGAAATGTTCACGAGTTAATAACATTTAACATAACCTAATTGAATCAAAACCCAATAAGTTGCTCTATCAAACAATGTTGGCAAATTGTTGCCAGAAATGCGACAGAGCCTGCTAATAGACTCTGCGCAATTTTTGCTGCCAATCTGCTCACATTGCCTGTCAACAGATTTTGTCGACAAAACACGAACTTAATGCGGCTACAGATGGCTATGGTTTTGGTATAGAATTTTGATCTTGGCTGTCAATCTGCACGCATTTGCTAGCATTTTGCTTTCTGGGTAATGACTAAAAAATGACGTCATAATCACGTATCTTACTATCTGGGGAGTATTTTAAAAATAAGTGGAACATTCTTATAAAATGAGAACACAATTTTCTCGCAGTGTATCTCCTATTCTTCCAAATATTCAATTGCAATGACTTATCTCGCATAATTGCTGTGAAACTGTATCGTTCGCATGATCCATAATCTATATCTGGCCTTATGCTTCGCGGCATGAAAGAACAGTTCGTTGCCTCGTGACTTTGTTAAGCCATCGAGAGACTCTATAACCCTCTCTCTCTCTTAGCTCGATGAACACGAGTCGGGACGTGCGAGCTTCCTCCGAGGAGCACCTCTGAATAAATTCGAGCCGGCGGCGAGCGACTAATTCTCAGCGACGTAGATAATCGAGGATCGCGCGAGTACACCGTAAACAACAGCGCAATGTCAGGAAGCCCGGAAGCCCGACTGCTCGACGTGATGCCGTGTAAATGGCAAAGAGAAAGGAAAGAGTGAAAGAGAGAGAGAGAGAGAGAGAGAGAGAGAGAGAGAGAAAGAGGAAAGAGGAAAGAGGATGGGTTCATTCCTGTGCGCGATGAATCTCGAAGTTGCCCGGGCACTTATTCCGTCGGGTCAAATTATCGTTTGCCCGGAGATTGTCTAACTCCGTTACCGTCGTTCCGTAATCGCTCGCTCCCTCGTCCGAGAGTTCCTTACAACTGTCGCCAACTTTTGGAAACGACCACCATTCTGTCTCAAAGAGACTATCATTTATATTCGCGACTTGCAAAAATTTTTGTGTACGCAAGACTGTGTATTAATAGAAAAACCTCTTGAAGAGTCATTGGATTTCATTGTTTTATATTTATATATATATATTTTTTTTTATTATACAATTTATTTATTACATATATATTTATATATATAAATTTAGTTATATTACACACATTTATGGTATATATATATATATATATATATATATACATAAATGTGTGTAATATAACTAAATTTATATATATATATATATATATATATATATATATTATATCTATATATTACATATTATTGTACTATATTTTATATTTCACTTTTTATATTTACAGAAATGTTGGAAATCTCATGTATACATATATCAAGTATCATATTTCATACGTAGAGGAAATTTAATCAATAAAATGTATATTATCTCGTTTTATCTTGATTCATAGAATGTCTAATAAAATACTAATTTGATATAACATTTAAATTTAGAATTCTTGGCATTTCTCAGTATATATGTGACAAGAACAACACGCTCTCTCCCGTTTCTGCCGGTTGTTATGTCTCCATGCAGTTATCAATTGTTATTGATCCTAAGGCTAAATATTTGGTCCAATTGCAATGCGACACTTAATGTATATCTCGTGCGTTTTTTTGTTATATTACTGCGACTCGATATCTAATTGATTATGAATTGTAACTCTAATTTTTATAACTGAAGATAGTTTAAAATAAACCGAAACGTATTATTTACATGTCATATTAGTCTATTATTATTATACAATAGCACGACTTTCTTGCTACGGCTCTTTGCCCTTTTTGTTGTAATTGGGTTTAAATTTAATATCAAAAAATGAAAAAAATTACATATGTATTTTTATTCAATTAATACTACCACGTTTTTGCTCAATAAACTGTCCACTTAATTATTGTCTGACATCTTCAAAGCACACTTTTCACTAATTTTACAGCTTCAAAATATATTTTCAAATATAGATATAGATCGTCATATCAAACAAATCTGTTGAGATAATTGTTTTATCGTGTACAATTTTTATCCATGCGCGCACAGCTTCTTTTCTTCATTAATCCCCAGATTAAGAAGGCATTTTTAATTGGATTTTAATTGGATTGAGTGACTCTGATGGCCAGCAGTCTAATATTTTAATATTATTTTTTCTTCTAGATAGCAAAAATAACTTCGATATTTTGAGTTGTTATCCTTTTAAAGAATCTAATCTTGATTTTTAGAATCCATCTTTAAATAATAATATCCTCTAATAGATTTTGACCATCTTCTTAGCACATCCAAATTCTTCATAATTAAATTAAAATTCTTGCAAATCCTTGATATGAAGCAACTTCAAGCATGCAGCTTTATCGGATGTTCTCTGAAGAAATGTGTTTGTGTGAATAGACCAAGTTTGATAGATAGCATTCCGTATGCAAAAAGAAGTTTATTGGAAAAAGTAACATTTTTCCAATTAGGATTTACATTTTTATGCACCCAAGTGATTCTTTTGCGACATCTTTTTTTGAAAGAAATGATTCTTTCATATTATGCTTCAGTATATTTGAGGTTCATATATAAGTTCGTATATATATGATTCTCACATACATGATAAAATAATACCTCTCTTTCAACTTGAGTTCTTGTCTTTGATACAAAAATAATAGAGGATTTGTAGAAAAATAGAAGGGGATTTATAGAACCTAACCTAACTGTGAATGATTTATCTTTTTTCTTTGAATATTTTGGAATATATAGTTAAATATGTCACTTTCTAGTAAAAATCAAGCAATATAATTGAGACCTTTTGTATAATGCATTATAGAAGAAGAGCTCTTTTACTTATTCGTTCAAGAGTCCCCGATATAAAAGAAGCTTGTCTCCTAACATACATCGGTATAT